AGGGACACGGCACATAGAAGAGGAAGAAGAGGAAAAAGAAGAAGAATAGGAGGAGGAGGAGGAGGAGTAGGAAAAAGAAGGAGGAGAAGTTGAAGAAGAAGAAAAAGAAAAGGAGAAAAAGAAGAGAAAAAAGAAGAAGAGGAAAAAGAAAAAAGGAGAAGAAAAAGAATAAAAAGTTGAAGAAGAAGAAGAAAAGGAAAAAGAAGAAGAGGAGGAGGATGAGGAAAAAGAAGGAGAAGTTAGTTGAAGAAGGTAAGAAGAAGAAGTAGAAGAAGAAGAGGAAAGAAAAAAGGAGAAGAATAAGAATCAAAATAAGAAGGAAAAGAAATTGAAGAAGAAGAGGAAAAGAAAAAGAAGGTGACGAAGAGAAAAAAGAAAAAGAAGATTAAGAAGAAGTAAAACAAATAGAAGGATGAGGAGAAGGAAAAGAAGAAGTTGAAGAAGGAGGAGAGGAAAAAGAAAAACGAGAAGAAGAAGAAATAAAAGAAGAAGTTTTTCTTTCTTGTGTCATTATTATTTAGATTTCCCCTCTTTTATTACTGATTTCTCTTCTACTTTTTCATTTCAGTACCCTACTCTTTTATCAACAATTTATCCATCATTTTCATTTGGGATTTTACGCCTTCCTCTATCTGATATATCCTCACTTTTGCACCCTCTTTATAGTTCTATACATTTCCTCTCCTTTTCTTCCTGTGCTTGCTTCCGAGTCCCCACAAAGTGGATTGATTAAGTAGAAAGGAACAGTGTAAAGTATGTGGCAGTGGCAGTAGCGGCAAAATGTGAGCGCCGAAAGGAAAGAAAAAGGGAAGTAACGGATGACGAAGAAACACTGGCCGACTAAGGTCACAGGGACTAATGTTGATCCCAAAACTATCAACTCCGGTTTTTATTAGCGCGTCGCTGCTCTTCAAATAGGAAGATTTCATTTTTATGATGTATTTCTGTCCTGTCTATCTACAGTGCAGCCTGTTTGCGATGCTGGACAGACGATTCCTCGACGCGCTCATAAAGTCGATCGAATCAACAAAAACCTCCCAACTTTCACTTTCACTTTCGCTTTTATATTCTTGTTTCACATTTAATATTGCTTTTTCCTTTCAACAATATCACTCGTCTCTTAACATTCTCCGTTTTCTTTCCCACTTCTTTTTCTGTCCAACATTTTTTTCTGTTGATCCATTTCTTCTCACATTTTCTTTATCGATTCTTTTCTTTTACTTTTTCCACTTCTAGTCTATTTATGATTGGCCTTTTGCATTTGCTTTTTACCTTGTCTTGTAATTTGCATCCATTTTTTTTTATCTTTTTGTTCTAGTTTTCATCCAACTTCATTATCCTTATTGTATATTCCTCATATTAGTTTCACTTTTATGCTTTTCGGTAAGTCTTTCTTTTTATTTTGGTTCTTACATATATCCTTTTCTCGTTCTTTTCGTCATCGTTTTTACTTTTACTTTCACTTTCAATTTAAATATTATCATAGAACGTAATTCCTTTTTCTTCTGTCACTCGAATTCTAGATGACGTGTATATTGACGTTCTTGTTTTACTCTCGTTTACATTCCTTTGCTACTCCTCTTATATTTTCAATGGAATTACCTATTATTCTTCTACTTTTACTTTCGTTTTCATTGGCTTTCAGTTTAAGCTTTCATTCATCTATTTTCAATGACATTGTCTATTTCCACTTTTCCTTTCACTTTCGTTTTCAGTGCCTTGTAACTGAGGCTTGTATTCAATTCTGTTTACAGTGACATTGTTTTCCCTTCTGCTTTCGCTTTCGTTTTCGACGCTCATAAGCAAAGTAAATCACTTCCAAAGATGAATATCTGCGGTGCGGAAACTCGGGCGGCTTGTTATAGCAATCAGGGAGACCATTAGGATTACACTTGGTCACTTCTCTGACTCGGCTGCCTCATCTTACCCCAGGGTCGTGTCACGTGACCTCATCTCAGCACCTAATAAAAATTTTATCAGCCAGCATGTCATACAACCGACCAGCATACAAAGTAGGCATCCTTAGTTCTTTGCTACTTAAGCCAATTACTAAAACTCACACCTTCAAATATAAGACTCTGTTAGATTTATTCGGTAAAAACCACTCACTCACTGTAATATGTATATACCCAAGAACTCTCTCACACACACACTCACACTCTCTCTCTCTCACACACATATATATATATATGCGAGAACACGTGGAGTTGTTAGGACGTTCGCTTTCATACCATGAGACCAGCGTTCGAATCTTGCAATGGTACATTTGTTAGGAAGGACTTCTTGATGATATCGGTTTAGGGGCGGCGATTGCACCTTCCGAAAGTGCCCGAAAAGCCATACCACGAGTTGATTCAACCCTTGTGAGTGACATTGGGCAGACGTAACATTTTGGTGAGCCGTCGACGGTTGTGCTAGCACGAAATCGCAAGTCATGGTGACTGAGGGTCTGAGCGTGGTAGCCTTGTTTAGATTGTTGATCACGCTAGATAAACCACAGGTGGGCTCTGAGGGTGTCAAAAAATCTAAATGTGACAGAGTAGGGCCTGCCACAGGGATTTGTTAACTGCCCTAATAGACGAGCATCCTTGGATAAGAGGGACAAGTCATTATATATATATATATATATATATATATATATATATATATATATGGTATAGGTCAAAGGTAAAGGCCTACTCTCTAGATTTGGAAGAATCGGTTAATAATTTCAGGTTTAACGGTAATCTTAGGGCTGATGGGTTTATAGTTTTAGATAAATCCCTCTGGACAAAATTGGATGCGATGTTCTAATGAGTATAGTTTCAGTTTAGTGGTGATTAAACCAAAGATGGTATGAAACATTCTAATTAAGTCCAAAGGGGTGACCTAAAATGGACACACACACAAAAAAAAATATATATATATATATATATATATATATATATATATATATATATATATATATTAATGCATGTTTCATTAATAATATAGACAAGTTTGTCTATTTTTAGCAAATTCCTTTAATATCGTCTTAAAATAAATAAATTTGCTTAAAATAAATAGACAAATCTTGTCTATTTAATGAAACATGCATTAATGAAATAATGTTGCCTAAGTACACACACAATATATATATATATATATATATATATATATATATATATATATATATATATTAAAACTATAGTTTTAAAGTATGCGTAAACGTGTTCAATATCAGAGATGGAATGTATAAAGTATATAAAGTATAAAAGTGAACACTGAGGGCTACACCAAGAGGCGACAATGTTTTATGTTTGAGCCCAATCTTCAGGCTTGAAGGTTGAGTTCAAGCATAAAACAGATTGAGGTGTTGACGTCAGTGTGAAGTTATATATATATATATATATATTTATGAGTATATAATATCGCACATTGAGAGCCGATTTTAATAAAATAGTGCTCGATTCAATATAACAGAGCTATAAACTATATATAAATAAATACACATATTTTTAATCACTGGTGGCATGACTTATATATATATATATATAACCCAGCATGTTGTTATGCTGACTTATCGACCAGCGCACTTCGAGGCGGTGTAATAGTTAGCAAGCTTGTCTCGCTAGAGCAATTACAACTAAGCAGTGAGTTCAATTCTCACTGGGTGCCCCCTACTTTCGGTCGTGTGCTTTATCTAAGCTACGCCTCGAAAATCACTGCTTCCCTTATCACTTAAAGAACCTATATATATATATATATATATATATATATATATATATATATATATATATAGGTGATTCAAAGGTAACTGCCTCTTTTATGTATAAGCGGCCACCCAGGAATCCTGACTTAACACCCTGTGACTGTTTTCTTTGGGTTTTGGTTTATGGATCAAGTCTATTATACTAAACCAAGATTTTGGAAGAACTTGAATGGCGAATGTAAGAAGTTATGTCTTCCATTTCACAAAACTTCCTAATGAAATCAGTTTACGCGATTCCTAGGCAGTTCGAGAAGCTGGTAGCGAAATCTGGTGTCCATATGGAATTTTAACGTCGTTCGCTACTTAAAAAAATGAATGCTTGATATCATAAAATGGTGAATACTCAGTTTTACAGTTAGACTTCGAGATGGTTACACTCGACAAGGATGTTGCAGTCATCATTTATATATATATAAAATGCGTGATTGTGTGAGCATGTTCGTTACTCAATCAATCGATTTAAATACCTTCACTTTCCTAACAAGGATTTTCCTCCGCCTACGACACCAACGCAACGCAACCGGAAATGCACTGAAGGCGTTAAACAATATAACATTCCTGAAGATGGATGAAAAGTGTCTGAATCATCAATATGCACAACAGTATACAGTAATTTACTTCTTTTCCAAAGGGCACGCGTGAAAAAAATCAATTGATTCGTTTTCCACGGCTTATCAACTTTTTCAGGTTATTTAAAGCTAGAAAATATTTTTGGACTGTAAGAATTTGTTTTCGAGGTAATAATGAATTAGAGATACAAATTTTACTAATTAACCCATAGCTGGGGGAGAAGAGGTACATTCCTACCTAATCAGAATTTGATAAACAAACAAAAAATTATAGTGTGGATATAAAGTGGCGGATTAGTTCTATATTACAATCAATATGCAAACTGATCCCTCACTTTGTGGCCACGGTAGTTTATATGCATTTATATTCCAGAGAATGTAGATAAATCTAAAAGACATGGCTGATTAATTAATCAGTAATTGATTTATTGATTGCTATTCTACGGCATATGAACCTTTTGCAGGTTATTTAAAGCCAGAAAATGATTTTAGATTGTAAGAATTTATTTTTGGAAATAATGATTTTTACTGATACAAGTTCTAACTAAATAATCGATAGCTTGAGAGAAAAGCGGTGGTTTCATGCCTTTCCCCAGTGTATTTACGCGTAAGTGAATATAACGAACCCGATTGGAATTGGAACTCGGCTCTGCGATTAACAATTCCGAAACTTTAACCATTACATCACCAGTACATTCAAGCTTACAGCATCTTGTATTCCCAAGCGATCACCCATCTATATACTGACCAAGCTCGATGTTGCTTAACTTCAGTAATCGGACGGGAACCATTGTTTCAACATGCTGTGGCCGTAAGCAAGATTTATAGCTGAATTTTCGGGATAAGGATTAATCATTATGTACTAATGTGGTCATCTTTGTTGTTGTCACAAGGTTTCGAGTATTGTGCTCTCTGGTCTTTTTCAGGTGTCTATCGATCTAGGCTATCTTCGGGGGAACTCTTTAATGTGTAGATTATTCTTATTCTGCTCTCGATGTCTGCATATATCTCGTCTTCCTTTTTTAGGACTTTTCAGTTTTTACTCATCCTCTCTACATTGAATCCACTGAGTTTGTACTAAAATTGACAGCTGAGTAATTACCAGTTCAATCCCAGGTTTGGGTACTGAGTTAGACTCAATGAAAATATGGCGAAAAATAACTGAGTAGCATGAGAAACAAAACGAAACGATATCTGTCTATATCCCTGAGATGAGGTATTATGATTGTTTACACTATTTACATTATTTGGACTGTTAACCTCATCTTCATAGCCATATTCACAACATTTCGTCCGTTGTAAGCTCTGGCCTTCTTTAGGTGATTAGAATTTCGAACCGAATTCTTTATTTTGTCCACCGGGGTAGCCCAGTGGATAAAGACGTTGGTTAGATCCAGTGACTAGATCCAAAGAGTTGTGAGTTCAACACCAGACTACAACAGCGGTGACACTCCCATCTCCGACAAAAAAACAAAACAAAACAAAAAACAAACTTGGAGAGTTGAGTTAAAGGGAAATAACTGAGACTGGGCAGGTGGAACGAGAACAATCTACCCCGGTGTACGAAATAAAAGGTTCAGTTCGAAATTCCATGGAGCATACAATAGTCGAAACGTTGTGAATATGGCACTGAAAATCAGGATAACAGTCTGAATAATGTCAATAAAAAAAAAAAAACGAGATATGTCTAGACATGGACAGCGGTACGAAAAAATTCTACAAGAATAGATTAAAGTCGATTCAGGTCTTTTTTTAACGAAATTTGACAAAAGCGAATAAAAATATTTATATATTTTATGGAAATGTTACTGTCAGCGGATGAAGCTATTATATATCATCAGTCAAATACGTTCTGGCCACAAAATCTATATTGTGGATTATTTCTCTGACATTCTAATAGAAGACAAATACAAACTCTGTTGATAATTCTTTAAATATTACTGAAAAATAAATCTATATTATGGATTATTTCTCTGATATTTTAATAAGAGATAAATACAAACTCTGTTGATAATTCTTTAACTATTGGCTGAAAAATAAATCTATTTTGTGGATTATTTCTCTGACATTCTAAAAAGAGATAAATACAAATTCTGTCGATAATTATCTAATTATTTACTAAAAAATAAATCTATATTATGGATTATTTCTCTGACATTCTAATAAAAGATAAATGCAAACTATGTTGATAATTCTTTAATTATTAACTGAAAAATAAATCTATATTATGGATTATTTCTCTGATATTTTAATAAGAGATAAATACAAACTCTGTTGATAATTCTTTAACTATTGGCTGAAAAATAAATCTATTTTGTGGATTATTTCTCTGACATTCTAAAAAGAGATAAATACAAATTCTGTCGATAATTATCTAATTATTTACTAAAAAATAAATCTATATTATGGATTATTTCTCTGACATTCTGATAAAAGAAAAATGCAAACTCTGTTGATAATTCTTTAATTATTAACTGAAAAATAAAAAGACAATTTACACACTGTATTAAATAGCAATATCTCAACACGGAACTGACCCGAAACAAAAGTAAAGCCATATCTTCGTAAATCCTGACTCATCAATAGAAAACGAGCAAAGACTTATTGTTATCACTGTCATGTTGTGCTTTCAACTTGTCTCCTGTTTCATTTTCACCTTCGCCGTTCTCTGCATAAAAGTGTTAGCGCTTTTTCTAGATGCATATCTGCAGTGCAACAAACCGGAAGCTTGTTATAGTAATCAAAACGTCGAATAACGACCAGCTTTGGTCATTACTTGCCTTTCGACAGTTTCAGACACTAAATGAATCAGATGGCATTTGGTTGGTGTCAAAGGGGATGTTATCGCTTTTGCGCGTCTAAGCAAGGAAAATTCCATTTGAAAAGACGGCCGAATTCTTTCGGACACACCGTTTCCGAGGTGGGCGCTTATCTCGAGGAATCAATTAACTCTTCCCGGTTCCTTTGTTGTTGTTACTGGGGCATTTTGTGATGATACTGGGGTGAATATGTTTTTGGCGCGTTGGGGGTTTTTGGCCAGCACTGTTATGAGCCGGTAAACGATCATAAATTTTGAGAGGAAAATGAAGGCGTAAAACAAGATGGAGAAAATAAGCTGAGAGAAAGAGGGATGAAAATGAGAGGGCGAGAGAACGGAGGTACAGGCGAAGAGAAATGAATGCATTTAATTGAACCAATAGAGAGAGAGAGAGAGAGAGAGAGAGAGAGAGAGAGAGAGAGAAAATAAAAGTGAAACGAATAAAAACCGAAATGAAAATGGTGACGAAAAAAGAACAAACCTAGTGAGAGTGAAAGTAAGTAGAGGAGACAAAATAAATGCGATTTACAGAAACAGAAACAATATTTGCTCAAAGAAAGTGTACAAAAAAAAAAAAAAAAAAAGAAAGGAACGAGAGATAAAACGAATGATAAAGAAAAAAAAATCCTTCTAGTTCAGTTTATTCCTTATCTATCTTAGTGGATCATCTCTCACTCTCTCTCTCTCTCTTTCTCTCTCTCTCTTTCTCTCTCTCTCTCTCATATATTTATCTTATCTAGTCTATCATAGCGTATCATATCTATCTATCGATCTATCTGTCTATCATATCTATATCAGTCTATCATTTCTATCTATCTCTCTATCTATCTCAGTCTATCATATCATATAATATCTATCTATCTAGTCTATCATATCTAACTCCTTCTCTCTCTCTCTCTCATTCTCTCTCTCTCATTCTCTCCCTCTCTCTCTCTCTCTCTCTATATATATATATATATAATATAACCGAAAAGTTCACAGATCTTAAAAATAGACTTTCTGTCTTCGACAAAAGTCACAATTTTATATATAATATATATATATATATATATATATATATATATATATATATATATATATATATAGATAGATAGATAGATAGATAGATAAAAAAGAGAGAGACAGATAGACATAGAGACACAGAAAACAACATTGTCATGTCCTCTATTCTCGATCGTGTCCAATCTTCTGCCGTAGCTATAGCAAATTTTAAACAATATAATTTAACACCTGTTGGCTACACATGTTTGAGTAAAGATCTTCATTTTTTTACATTGTCTACCAGTTAAAATCTCGAAAGCCTTATTAAGGAAAATGTGTCGACTGACAGGAATCGAACACGTATTCAAACTAAAATAGCTTTTACAGTATTAATAATTAATATTGGATAAAACAATAGCCATTAAGGAAAACAATATATTTATACCTTGACAGAGAAAAAGAATAGAAAGAAATATATATATATATATATATATATATATATATATATATATATATATATATATATATATATATATTAGGCTTTGTCACAGTAGAAGAAAAGTAATAAGAAAATATATTCTAATATGGCAGAGGAAAAGAAAAGAGACAATATATTTCTAATATGGCAGAGGAAAATAAAAGAAAGAAAATATATTTAGACCATGGCAGAGAAGAAGAAAGGAAAGAAAATACAATTAGACATTGGCAAAGAAAAGAAAGAAAATATATTTAGACCATGACAGATAAGAAAAGAAAAAAATATATATTTGAACTTGTAAAAGAAAAAGAAAAGAAAGAAAATATATTCTGACATTGGCAGAGAAATAAGAGAAAAGGAAAGCATAATTTGAACATGACTGAGAACATGAACAGGAAGACAATATATTTAGACCTTGACAAGGAAAAAAGAATAGAAAATATATTTAGACTTTGGCAAAAAAAAGAAAAAGAAAAGAAAGAAAAGAAAGTTAGATCTTGACAGACAAAAAGAAAAGAAAAAATACGTTTAGAAGTAGAAGAAGAAAAAGAAGAAGAAAAATATATTTAGACAAAAGAATATATTTAAACCTTGACAGAGAAGTAAAAATGAAAGAAAATATATTTAGACGTTGGCAGAGACAAAGGAAAACAATATATTTAGCCCTTGAGAGTGTAGAAGAAAAGAAAGAAAATATATTTAGATCTTGGCCGAAAAAAAAAAGAAAAGAAAGAAAATATATTTAGACCTTGGCAGAAAAAAAGGAAATATATTTAGACATTGATAGAGAAAAAAAGAGAGAGAATTGTTATTTAGACTCTGTTAGAGAGAAAAAAGAAAATATATTTAGGTGTTGTCCGAGAAAAAGAAAAGAAAGAAAAAATATTTAGACCTTTGAAAAGAAATAAAGAAGAATTATATTTAGAGAAAACAAAAAGAATGAAAAATCTATTTTAACTTGCTGAGAACTAAGAACGTCTTTAACAGGTCGCAGGCGATCGTGAATCCCGTGACACATTGTAGGTGCACCATGTGTACTCCAGCCACAGTAGAAATGGTGTTTCTTAGGCAAGTTAGCCTGATGGAGCCCAACGCTCTTCAGGTCGGTTTTGAATTCAAAGTCTCCTTCTCCTAGATTCGATTACCTCCCAGTCTATCCCACTATTTACCAATAGCTGTGTAGAAGAGGATTCATAGTATTAGCACGTAAGTGAATGTAATGGATCCAATTGGAGTTCGAACTCAGCTTAAGGTCCTTAATCCGAGCCGCTATCCCTTATTTTACCGTGCCACCAATGCCTTTAACAGGATGTAACAATTATACCCATAACAAAGATTCCCGAATCAATAAACCACTTGCAGCCATTGAAACTCCAAACTATAAAATAATTAAAAAGAACTTGAAGACTAAAGTACATCCCTAAATCTTGGGATGTCATACCTTCACTTGATCCCAAGTAAAGGACCCCACACTTACGATTGGGCGCCCTGGGTATGACGATAAACTACATCCGCGTCCTGAGTAAGACGATAAACTAAATCCGATAGCAAGGCCTCTGATCAGGAGGTTTTGAGGTACGTGGAACCAAGTTTTAATTGCTGGTGTTCCCAGGTCTACTTTGACCCGGGGTGGTAGCACCTGTTAGGGTGCCAGCTATGGGCAAATAGTTAACCCTCATACTGAGGTCAAAACGTGTAAAAATAGGTTTTAATTCCAACAATTCATTTTTTGTAAAGAATATTAACAGCAATAAATTTTTGAAGAAAAATTATTACCAGCAATATTTTTTGGAAAAGATATTACCAGACATACATTTTGAAAAAAAATATCACCAGCAATAAAAATCTTGTTCGCATTAAATAACACATTGAGGTTGATATACTGTAAAACAAACCAAACCAAAATTATGATTGGCCTGAGAATTAAGCGAATGTATATACAAAGAATTAAAATAAGGACTTGACACATTCTGAGGAGATGACAAAAATGTGACAGATGTTCCTACATCGAAAAGTGTGATTTCAGACGCCTTTCTCAAATACAGGGTTGCATAGGGAAGAACGAATGTTAAAACGTCGATACACACTCAAACTGTCTTTACCAAGGCTAGATTAGTCAGTTTCAAATCGGGTATTATATTTCCATTCTATCACATCTGTTTGATTTTTTTTTCTGGTTTTGTTCTGGATGTCAAGCATGGCGCCAAACACGGTCAGAAATATCTAAACCGTCAGCCGGATACAACCACTTTCTCAGATTAATAAATAAAATGGCTTCCAGTGAATGAAACCTGCAGGTCTTACCGAGGAACAACTTTCTTCGAATCTTGTGAACTGGCGCTACAGAATCACAAGCAAAGAAATGTACCAGATAACAGAAACCACATCACTTGAGGACTTTCAACAGTATCGACAGCTAAAATGGATAGCACATAACTCGAAGAGAAAATAATGACATAATCAAGGTGTTGATATTCCACACTATATCAAGCAAAAGATTAGGAAGGGAACTTCCATATAATGTAGAGGGAGTGATAACAGTTTACTTGAGAAAACTATTGTTCTAAGAGAAAGATTTTATAAATTTCAACCGAAATCATCACTAGTCCTTTGGTCAATGAATGTCGAATGTTTTCTCGTAAGGAAACAGCTAATATTACCGTTATCATATATTTTTCTATATATATGTGTCCTGTTCTGGGTTTGACGATAAACTAAATCCGGGTCCTGGGTAAGACGATAAACTACGATCAGCAGCAAGGCCTCTGATCAGGAGGTTTTGAGAAACTTGGAACCACCTCTTAATTGCTGGTGTTCCCAGGTCCACTCTGACTCGGGGTGGTAACACCTGTTAGGGTTCCAGCTATAGGCAAATACTTAACCCCCAAACTGGGAAACACTATGAAGGTGTAAAAATAGGTTTAATACCATAAATACTTTGTAAAAAAAATTATTACCAGCAATAAATTTTTGAAGGAAAAAATATTACCAACAATATGTTTTGGAAGGAAAAATATTACCAGCAATACATTTTTGAAAAAAATTATTACCAGCAATATATTTTAGAAGGAAAAATATTACCAGAAATAGATTTTTGACAAAACAAAATATTACCAGCAATAAAAAATTTTCGGCATTAAATAACCCATTGAGGTTGATATGCCGTAAAAGAAGACAAACCAAACCAAACTATATATGTGTCTGTTCAAGTCTATCTATCTATCTATCTATCTATGACATTTGGGCATGCAATCAGATGGATAACGAAAAATGTGTTGTGTTTGTATGCATTCGTGTGCTCGAGACTAAAAACGAGAAAGAATATGAGTGACTTATAAAAATCGTTTAATATTTTATATTCTCCGCATTAAGTGTCCGAATTTTGAGATGGAAAATCTTTCAGAATCTATCTATCTCAGTCTGTTCGTATCTATCTATCTATCTATCTATCTAAGTCTGTTCGTATCTATCTAAGTCTGTTCGTATCTAGATGTATCTAAATCAGTCTTTCGTATCTATCTATCTATGTATCTATCTATCTCAGTCTGTTCGTATCTATCTATCTATCTATCTCAGTCTGTTATATATCTATCTATCTATCTATCTATCTATCTCCCAGTCTGTCCATCCATCTATCTATATCTATCTCAGTCTGTTCTGCATCTATCTATCTATCTATCTAAGTCTGTTCGTATCTATCTAAGTCTGTTCGTATCTATCTAAGTCTGTTCGTATCTATCTATGTATCTATCTATCTATCTCAGTCTGTTCGTATCTATCTATCTATCTATCTATCTATCTATCTATCTATCTCAGTCTGTTCGTATCTATCTATCTATCTATCTCAGTCTGTTCGTATCTATCTATCTATGTATCTATCTATCTATCTCAGTCTGTTCGTATCTATCTATCTATCTATCTATCTATCTATCTCAGTCTGTTCGTATCTATCTATCTATCTATCTATCTATCTATCTCAGACTGTTCTATCTATCTATCTATCTATCTATCTATCTATCTCAGTCTGTTCGTATCTATTATCTATCTATCTATCTATCTATCTATCTATCTATCTCAGTCTGTTCGTATCTATCTATCTATCTATTCAGTCTGTTTCGTATCTATCTATCTATCTATCTATCTCAGTCTGTTCTATCTATCTATCTATCTATCTATCTATCTATCTATCTATCTCAGACTGTTCGTATCTATGTATCTATCTATCTATCTATCTATCTATCTCAGTCTGTTCGTATCTATCTATCTATCTATCTATCTATCTCAGTCTGTTCGTATCTATCTATCTATCTATCTCAGTCTGTTCGTATCTATCTATCTATCTATCTATCTATCTATTACGTTCTATTCATATATATTAGTCTTTCTATGTATCTGGTTTCACTCTATCTTTTAAATTGTAAGACTGCTTGATATAGTGGCTATTTACTGTAATATTTTTCTGCTCATAAAATATACGATATCAAAATTCTTTTTCTCTCTCTCACTCTCTCTCTCTCTATATATATATCGCTACAGTGTTGATCCCGATGTTTACACAATCTATATGGACAAATGCACTTTCTCTCTAATACTGAGCACTCTTTCCAAACGAATAACGATATATATATATATATATATATATATATATATATATATATATATATATATATATTTCTTTAGCACTATAAACGTTATTTTAGTGGTTACACCTGATTACGTAGACATTCCAACTTTTCTAAAACAGTGAAATTAATGTCCATTCATCTATAAATAGAAAGTCTTATTGAAAAGAATATAAGTCCCGACTGAAAGATGGTCTTCCATATTGAAAAGGATTTCCATGGATAAGGGAAGGAAGGTTTTATCCCTGCCGAGAAGGGGAATTAATATATATAAATATATATGCGTATATATACATATATATATATGCGTATATATATATATATATATATATATATATATGCGCATATCAACATGTATGCGTATATTTCTGCAGCATGAAATAATTTCTCCGTTTACTACTCATTTCGTAAAAAATCTCTCCAAACCAAACTTAGTTAATTCTCTTTGAACAGTTTCAGCGGCCACGTACTGCAATTTGTCTCTGACAATAATAAATATTACAATATTAATTTTGTGATAAACAATACCCTGATGATGACATGTATATGTCAAAAGTACTTGGAAATAAAACAAATATGTACCAATACGGCGATTTTGACACCAAAATGCTATCCGAGAGTATGAAAGGATCTTATTGAAGGTAAGCAGGCAGAATATGTCTAAACTATAAAAGAAACATGTCTTAGTGTATAAATATATATATATATATATATATATATATATATATATAAATATATATTTAT